CAGATAGCGATCTATGCCGAGGTGTCCGCTGCGGTTACAATGCGCGTTGCATCGAGGGTCGGTGCAAATGTGAGGAAGGCTACAGTGGGGATCCATACCGCGAGTGCCGGTGGGAACGAGGTTAGCGGAAATTGCGCATAAATGTGGAAATTTCACTTCTCAACTGTAATGTACCTTATTTCGTAAATGCTACTCTTCATTTATAATTTGTCTAATTTTGCTAAATGAAGTAGGCTCTTTTCTTGAAAATGCATTTCAGTTTTCACGTCAAATAAACGACTTAATGTCAAATTCATGCTTTGAATCTTTGTGTTAAACAATTCCATGTACCATTTATTACGACCCTAGGGCTCATTTATTCTACTTCTATGGGTATCCTAATGCAACTATTGAAATTGTTCTTTCTTCTGTTGTTTTCGTTACTTTTATTATGCTCTAGATCCCTGCCGAGATGTACGATGTGGTGCAAACGCCTACTGCACAAACGGGCAATGTTTCTGCCAGCAGGGCTACCTAGGCGACCCTCAAATCGAGTGTCGTCCATCATGTAGGCTGATGATGTTTATATTTGTTGTTTTGGCAGCCAAGCAATAGTTGTAGTGAGGAATACATCTTTCACGGTTTTCACTTTACAATTAACTGAGCTTTTTCGTTAGCCATGTCTGATTTCGGAAGTTTCAGGTTTCGAAGGAACTCATGCATGATGTAACGTCTTTCAAGATCTAGCTTATTTTATGCGAAACCAATATATGTGGTCGTAATTGGATAAACATTCTCAATTGATGATATCTTCCTGGAAAGCTAAGAATGCTCTCATTTTTACAAAAATAAAAGTACTTTTCCTCATAGATGAAGATCGGTGCCGAGGTATTCAATGTGGCTACTATGCGCATTGCAGCGACGGTCGATGCCAGTGCGACGAGGGCTACAGCGGCGACCCCTACCGCAAATGTCAGTGGGCAAAAGGTTAGGGCTAACCGCTTCCATTCCTGTTTATTTCATGGAGCATTGTCATTCGCCCGCACGTACCTTGATGAAAACAAAATAATTTATTTTCAGTAGGTCAAATCACCTATTCACTTCTAGCCACAAATCAGTGTTGACACCGCAAGCACATCCAGATTGAGATCAAACGAAATACGAAGCATGTGTAACTATTGTCAACCACGCCTTTCAGCTAATTTTCTCAAACCACTTCAGGTCTAAGACGCCTCATTCCCTTTTTATTGTTAACCTTTTGGATTTCCGAAAAGCAACAATTTCCGAAGAACAACAATGAGTTGAAACCAAATCATTTACTGTTAAGTATTCTTATTGAATTGATACAACCGTATTCAAAACTTGGGAAACTAGTCACACTAATTTGCAATAATCAGTACTATGTGTATGAATTCAGGTATGAGTGGTTTTTGTAACAATGAATTCATATTTGCCTAACGTCTGCGAGTAATACTTCAGGTCAAAGTGAGGATGTGTGTAGTTTGCCCACGGAAGTGGGTCCCTGCCTTGCGGCTATACAACGCTACGCCTATAACCGCTCCAGCGGTCGCTGTGAGGTCTTCTACTACGGTGGATGTCAGGGCAACGCGAACAACTTTGATAACCTGGTGGAGTGTCAACAGCGTTGTGAATCACTCAGTCAAAGAGGTTTGCCTCATGACATCATTGTTATATTATATCTGCTTTCGGGATGACCTGATCACTCGGTTGTTAAGTTGTATCCCCTTTCCCGATTTTATTAAAGATCCTTGTGCGAATGTTCGATGTGATCGCAACGCTTACTGTGTGAATGGTTATTGCTATTGCAACCCGGGCTACGAGGGTGATGGCAATACCTATTGTCGACCAGCTTCTTCGGGTATGCCAATGTTCAGTTTGTAATGGTTTTAAACCGAGTTTAGGTGCGCTGTTCTTCGTGTTTGCTAAATTTTTACCAAATGGTGTCGTTAATTCTAATAATAATATACCTCCCTTTCGACTAATTCATAAAAGTAAATAGGAAAAATTACCTAGTTAATTGCAAAACTCATTCAATTGTATTAAACGTTTGAGGAGATTTCATAGCTTTATAGCTGAAACAGTACTGTCCAGTTTCAAAACCGAGTCATACCTCTGCATGCATACGCACGCATTTTGGCCGACAAGCTTCAGCATTTTTGCGGATCAAGGTGTGGATGACACATTTAGCTAAACCCGAATTTGCAAATCTTGCTTTTAATCTATGCATGCTCAGTGTTATTTTCAACTTTAATTCGACCAGCAGAGCAACTTTTTTTATTTAAATTCGCCTTAAAAATAAGAAAATTTTTGAGTCCTAATTTGGAGGTCTTGCTTGAGCGTAGGCACTTACAGCAATTCCTTTATCCTTAGGTGGTGACCTCTGTGAGAGCGTACGATGTGGAGAAAATGCCGAGTGTCTGGGAGGTCAGTGCAAATGCATGGAGGGCTACTACGGCGATCCCTTCCACTCTTGTCAATCCATCGGTGGCGGTGAGCTATTTCTTACCACTAGTTCTCCTTAATGAAACGTCCCAAGGCTTGTTGAGGAATGGGACGTTTAGGCTACGCTGAAAGCGCTTTTTCTTTTCTTTATGAGACGCTTTCGTATCCTTTTGCAGACAAGTCACCATCTAACCCGATTTGTCGTTTCCCAATTGATGCCGGGCAATGTTACGATCGAATGGAAAAATATGGTTACGACTCACGAACAGGTCGCTGTGAGAAATTTTTCTACACAGGGTGCCTGGGCAACGAAAATCGCTTTGACACCTTTGAAGAGTGCGAAAGGGAATGTGGTGCAGCACAAACTAGGGGTAAGTCGATGTTTATCATTGTTGCTCCGAATTCGATGCTCAGAAACGTGGTAGGATAAGGTTTACACTCTTGGGCTTCAATATCCGACCCAATCTTCAAATGTCCAACAACTAGCCATCGGTCATAGTAGCTGATAGTATCTTTCCATAATATAATCCAAATTCTTCCACTCACCATTAAAGCGAAACGTACTACGATATTTTAACTGCAACATTAATGGCAATCCAAATTATGGACCTGCTACCTAGTTTGGAAATCCAGATTTCCACGTTATTTTGAAGCCCGTTCCCCAGATTATTTAGACAACTCCAGGTCTCATCTTATCTCCCACGATCATCTCACGGCGTTCACTTTGTACAACTTTTTGCCTACCTCAAAAATACTTTTTATATCACATTCAGAAACAAGGCATTTTAACAACTCCGGAAAATTTCCCATTTTCCGGGAATTATTTCAATTTCAACAGTTGACAAGTGGTGGTTGTCTTGGATTCCGTGCATAACTATGAAAAAAGGAAACTGCTATCATATCACACAAATGCTGTGGAGGAGCGAATACCTTACGAATGTTATTTCCTACAGTTCCATTCTCTAATCAGGTGCCTGATAAGTGTTTCTTGCCTCTGATAACTGGGACCTGTGGGAATGCCCAGACCCGATTTGGCTTCTATCCTCCCACTCAGCGCTGTGAGGAGTACAGTTACAGTGGCTGTGGGGGAAACGAGAACAACTTTGAGACAAGACTGGACTGTGAAACCGTCTGCAACGGTATACTAAACCGTCAACTTCCCAATGCAACATGTTTCATAATTCTTAAGGTGCATGACATCGCGGCATTTTTTGTGCATCACTTCTCAGCGACTTCATGCGTTAAGTTCTTTTGAAAACACATTTACTCGATTCCAGATTTCATTGATGTGCATAAAGCGAAGCTAATCATCGTTATTGAAATGATGACTGCATTGGAAGACCGCATACCTATCTCTCCGTATGCTCCATCTCCCTTTATCCACAATATCATGCCATTCCGCTCGCATGGAGAAAAATATTGCCATGATAGCATGCATAAGTGGGAGTTTTAATGTAACAAAAAAGGGTGGATTTTTAGTCTCCTGTGCAAATACACACTGTGGCACGAACGCCGTGTGTGTGGATACCAGTTGCGTCTGTTTGCCTGGACACGAGGGAAATCCACGAGCTGGCTGCAAGCGGTTTCGCCTCAAAGTGGGTAGAGGAAAATCTCAAGGTGGGCATGTTTTAATAGATACTGAGCTATTTCATTTAGCACTACTCACCTTGCACAGTAATGATAGACGTAGGCACGAATTCAATTTCTGTTTCATCCCTAAGAGTGGCTTGAAGGGGAGGATGCAAACCAGAGAATGGTTATTATTAGTTTGGTCTTTATTATTTTGTAGTAATTGGTGATAGGCCCCATATTTTGAAAACCCTCACATAGACATAGTCAACCAAGTTAACCTCTACAGCGGCATATTACAAGGGGAAAATTGGATGATGTCGGAAGGGATTTAAAATGACCTCATGGATACTGCATCTCACCCCTCCAAGAGCACAGCGCAGACAATTTAATTCATGAAATTCATTTCAACAATAGCGCTTAAGCGCTCGGGAATCTGTTACCTACCCCTTCGCACCGGTCCCTGCCACAACCGGAGCACGCGATACGGATACTTTCCCCCACTGAAGAGGTGTGTTCGATACACCTACGGTGGTTGTCGAGGCACTCAAAACAACTTTCTCACCGAGGCGGAATGCGAGCAACTGTGCAAAGGTATCTAATCGAGAGGCATGCCCCACATCTCCCTTTCTCCACTCTCAAAGAACGAAAAGTGCATGTCGTGTCCGCATCTCAAGGGTTATGTGATCCATCTCTCTCATCGGTATCCTAGGCTGGACTCGGAATTAGATTTTAGAAATGGTTCTGCATGAAGACGAAGGTGATGGTAATATTGACAAAATACTAACCATTTCCCTCCTACACCTGCCGCTGTCATGGCTTGTCAGTCGTTTGGCATGAAGACTCAAAATCATCCAGATTTTTGGCATGTCATTACTCCAGTATCTACCTTCTAACAGTCTCTGAATTTCGGCAACCTGTGAAGCTGAACGAAACCTGCAAGTGGTCAAGCACTGCCAGATGCTCGCATTTTAACGTGTCCCAACTGCGTGTTTGCTAGATCCATGCGACGGCGTGCGCTGTGGCTATAACGCAAGGTGCGTAGAAGGTCAGTGCGTGTGCGAGCCTGGGTTTGGAGGCGATCCCAACTACGAGTGCAAAGCAGAGAAAATGGGTGGGTCTACTTACGAATGGGCTGAAAATTTGCATAAGCATCAGACACGTTGCTAGAGGTCACGCATTTCAACATTAAACACCTCTATCACCTAACTACATTCAAAGCATTTTGGTGCAAGTAGAGCTAGATCAAACCTAAATGTTAACCTATTTTTCATGATTTATTAAAATTCTTGTGGTCTACTTATTTAAAAGCTAAGGTTTGCAGCTTTTGTCCTGTTTTCATATTTATTGCAGCCACTAGGGTACCTGGTCTTCACTTCCACTGTGTGGTGCATAAAGCATCGTCTGCTGGAGAACAATGCGAAAGTTAGTTAAAAGGGGGAGCAAATATGTAAATGTCACCTCACTTCAAAGAACGAGATCTTTGAAAGATACGACTTGCAGAGTTCAAATCGATCTAATCCACCACTATGATTATTTAGTGGGTGCAAGAGAAAAGAGTGGTAGGGGTCTGGTTTTAAACAGGAACCATCGCTAGACGACAACCCCGACACTCTACTTCAAACGAAGGCGGATGTACTTGTCGTTGTGTGAAATGTTTTGGACGATTAAACGGTTGAACTATTTTTAGATAAGTGTTTTGGTGTACGATGCAGCGTTAACGCGCGCTGTCAAGATGGCTATTGTGTTTGTGAGGCTGGTCATAGAGGCGATCCTTACCGGGAATGCCGACCCGCTGGTATGTTTGTGCACGAATCACGCCTGTTTACTGCGCTTACTTCATATGCGCTTTTAGTTGGCCTGTTGCACAGCATATTTAGCTTGTTAAAATGTGGCATCTATGCTGTGGCATGAGCATTGGCTTAACTCTTTCCCCTGTTATTGTAAGACGACAATTTGTTTCCATATCCGATTCTGCGCAGATGGACCTTTTTATGTTAATCTGCTTTATTTTAACTGATTTTGAGTTGGTGAGTCTTGATAGCGAGTGGATTGGTTACTAACTGGCTGACTATTGCTTCACGGCCCAGTTGAAGAGGTGTGTCAGGATGCGTGATACCCCTACCATGCGGTATGTTGACGATAAACGTTTCAGCTTACTGGACACCCTTGAGGATGCGTCCGGCAACTGTGTCCACGATGGCTAGTGGTAACTTTATGCCTGGATTGTGGCAATCAATGTCATAAGTGGTCAAAATAGAGACACCTTTACCACAAATTCAATCTATCATAAAGAGAGCCCATAAAAGCAAGTATTATGTCTAATAAAATGGTTTCTTAGATCATGCTACATAAATTTACAATTAGCTCCTTCTTATAAGTACCTAAATTTCAAAGATGAAGCATTTAGCCCTCTTGACCACATACTTATTAGAATTGAATTGCCATGTTTTGGAGTTGGTAGCAGTGATACTAGACCAGCAAGACTCAGATACACCAGTAATGTATATGAATCCCCAGGACAAGTTCCCAAGATTAGTTTCTTATTCAGTTGAGCGGGAAACCATTGCGTATAGCCGAAATACGTGAGTAACCTCTTAGTGACGGAAAGGCTATTTTGTCAAAGCAGGAAACACAATTCATTAATCACTTGCTCGACTGCATTAATTTACTCATTGTGCGCCTTTTGTTGATGGCCCGTGATTTCCCTTCCATTGTTGGTCTTGTGCTGTTGAACATCCAGATGCTTGCCGTGGTGTCCGTTGCGGCTACTACGCCAGGTGTGTTGAGGGCAGGTGCGAGTGCGAGCCCGGTTATACGGGAGACGCGTACAGTGAATGCAGGCCCGGTGAGTCGGCTGAGAACACGTGCTGAGGAATGTCAAACTCCTTTAAAGCAGTACTATCCTGTATTGAAAGTATGCGTGTCTTACAGTGCTTGCATTGCGACTATTTCGCAATATCAAAACTAACCACTTTAATTTTCAACTCGGAAAATATTTCAGTAATGCAGCAAAGAGGCTCGCCATTAAGCCACATTATAGTTGCACGGAAACTTCATAAAGAACTTTGAAAAGCATACTTATGTTCCGCTGTAAAATAAGTAATGAAATGTGCATGCGATAAGCATTAAATAAACAAACTTTGAACAATAAATGTTGCGTGGTGGCATGAGGAATGATTGCATATTTTCGCACCCACAATATCTCGTTTCCTCCCCATGCTTTCAGAGGCTAAACTGGACCTCTGTGAGGTACTGGGTTGCGATGAAAATGCTGTATGTCTTAATGGTGAATGTAAATGCCGTCAGGGTTTCACAGGCAACCCCTACGAGGGCTGCGTGGCAATACAATATCTAAGTAAGTCAGACCACATTACTGGGTGCACGTTCTGAAAGGCCAGTTCTCACTTACCTCTGCCTACCCAGAACCAGCTACAGGAACGCTTCCTGATCCATGCCATAGAGTCGCCTGCGGTAAAGGAGCTTTCTGTGATCTCGGTACTTGCCGCTGTCCAGAGGGTTTTCAAGGCAATCCCTACATTAAATGCCAGTTTGTTAGTATATTTCTGGGTAAGCTGCATGCACCTGAAGTGCCTGCGCCGAGAGCCAGCCCTCCAGTTGAGGGTATTTTTTCAGAAGCTCTCTGTATTTGATGCATGCAATATCCACACGTATGAAAGTCATGGAAGTTATCCATGGGATTAGGAGTTTCGCACTTCTTTGGTTTCATTTGGGATCGTCACCCTACTCTTATGTACATTCGATTTGAGATTCACCCAGCCCAATTTTAATTTCACTAGCTAAAAATAATCTAAAGAGCAGTGCATTAACGGGAATGCCTGAATGCACAAAGGATATCAATGCTTCTCACTACTTCCCGCTTTTATGCGCATGCTTTTCGCGAAGTTGGAAGTGAGGGTGTTGGATTACTGCCAAAATTACAGCATGTTATGACTATGCTGCTAAGTATGTTGCTTAAAGCAGACATTCTCAACTTAATTTTCACTTAAAACGCCTCAGACCTCTGCCGAGGAGTGACGTGCGGCCTAAATGCTCAATGCATCGACGGACACTGCAAATGTCTTTCAGGATACGAAGGAGATCCGCAGCGAGAATGCCGAAATAGAGGTTACATTTTACTCCCTTTTCCAAACACTCGCCTCGATACTATGTACAGCATATAGAAGAAACGGTTTACGGATATTTCATTAATACCAATAGCTTACACTCGATATAAGCTAAATTATCTTACCTATTTTTTTCAGTTTTTATCACATATCCCTTTATGAATGGTTAAGTGAACCCGTTGAAGTATGTGTTCTCCTTTAAGAGTTCAATTCATGGCAGTGTCTAGAAGTGTTTAGGTGAATGTGCGACACTAAGCAGCTGTAAATTCACCTTTTAGAGAGTTGTAGGGGTCACCGCTGTGGCCCGAATGCATACTGTCGTGACGAGGTGTGCCACTGTGAAACGGGCTATCAGGGCAATCCCTACACTGGGTGCGTTCAAATCAGTGGTGGGTCTGAATCCAATGCATGCGCTTTGTACAGTTATAAAAAAATGGGGCAGTAAGTTCTAAGGGCATCACCGAATGTGTAACGCTGTTTGAGAACACTCACTTGACCAAACTCACTCAGGGCTAAGTTTCAACTCCATAGATGATTAGAAGATCCATTCCGCATTTACAGATTGGGATAGGGGGTGATGGGGATGACGGCAGCTTTGCGTTATCAGGATTTAATTTACTTAACACATGGATTTATAATTATTCAATCCACAGTTGTATCCACGTCCGGAAATTTTTTTCTCTACTTTTTATCAATGTCTAAACTTCCTTGAAAGATAGCTTCACTTGCTAAAAACACGGTAAAAGGTACTTACTCTTTGTTGTAGATCGCTGCGATGGTGTTCAGTGCGCCTCGAATGCTTATTGTGCAAACGGATATTGTCGTTGCAATCCCGGCTACGCTGGCGATGGCTTTATCGAATGCCATTACCAAGGTATGCACAATGTTCTGCAATTCCGATTAGTCCATAATTTTAATATAATACTCTCAAAAGCGAAATTTACTCTTGGGTCCATGCCTTTAATCCGAGGGTAGCTTACAGGCCCACGTTCAGTGATAAGTCAAATGTGCAGGTTCCATGTACCCATGTATGGTCTACAATCTGTCCATTGATGACCCACATGTTATTCTTCCTTGCTTATGAAGGTTCATGCGCTAACGTCCAATGCGGAGTCAATGCCCACTGTGTGGACGGACGTTGTGTATGCTGGCCGGGTTACACGGGTGATCCCGATAGTAGATGCGACCCCGCTGCTGGTAGGGTTTTTTTTTCACTGATGTTTGACATGATAGATATGTGAAATCGATAAATGTCTGCTTAAATACATCTCCTAGATCCATCCTTCTGTAATGGCAGACGTTGTGGCCAAAATGCTGTGTGCGATCAGGACCGCTGCATTTGCAAATATGGCTTTGAAGGCGATCCCTACTACGGCTGCACCGAAATTCGTAAAAAATCTTATGTTTCGCTAATTATATATGTAATGGGTTAAAAGGAACCCACATTGTGCACATCATTGTCTATGCTTATCGGATGTATTTATAGCTCCTCTAAATTTAAACAGCCAAACTTTTCAATTAATCACCTTTCGTTAATTAAAGTGGAGACTTTAGGCGAATATGGGCACCGAATTTGTAATGATGGTCTACAAATGTTTTTTACTAAAATCATATGCTATCAAGCCTAAATATACCACAATGTCACTGAAGTTATAAACTTTTGTCTTCACCACCAGCTCATAAACCCGAGCGCTGCGGCAACACCTACTGCCATGAGAGGGCGCGCTGTCACAGTGACACGTGCTACTGCGAGTATGGTTACGCGGGCGACGGTGTATCGGTGTGCGAAAAGGTTGAGGAGGGTAAGGCGAGGCGGTATCGCCTTACCTTAACTCTTACTTTATCAATCACAGAAGACATGGTATTCTTGGCTTGTAGATCTCTGCAAACGAGTCCATTGCGCGGAGAATGCAGAATGCGAGGCCGGTCTCTGCCAGTGTAAACCAGGCTTCAAGGGTGATGGCTTCTCCGAATGCAACCCCGTAGAGGTTGATCCGTGTACGTTATACTCGCATTTTTTATACAAATCTGCATGACGCATTGAAGGAAGTGGTCAACTTTTCAAATAAACAAAGTAAGATTTTAGTTGAGGTCCGGTGTATTTACCCTCCGGCTTCTTTCTAGCAGCATCTCGGAGCCCATGCTGAAGCATAGGCCACTGCATCTCATCATTACATTAAAATAAGTGGTATGGACGATTTATTGAAAAGAACACACCTTAATAGTCGTGACAGGAAGCTGAGAGTTCGTACTTAGACTGACTGCTGAGTTTTGACTTCGAGAATGATTTCTGTACTCTAAAATCTCCCTAAGCTGTACTCTTTCTAATAATCTTAGATATGTTCTGCACTTAATGCTGAAAGCATGTAAAAAATCTTGCTAACCTTAGTACCTACTTTTGAGCCTCCTCACTTTAACACTTCTCTCGTTGTGAATTGAAATTTTGTTCACATTGCCAACAATATTCAAACCTTTCATTTATCTCCACCACTCTAATGCTTTGACATTCTGTCATCCACACGTCAGCCTCCTGCAATGGCCGATACTGCGGAGCCAATGCGGAGTGCCGCGACAATGTGTGTGTGTGCGTGTCAGGCCACACCGGTGACCCCTACGACATTTGTACCCGCGAACGACCCCTTTCCGGTAAGGTCCCGGCTTACATGTGATTAAATTCAGTAGCCCTATGCATAAAAGCTGTTAAATTTATATGCCTTCTAAATTTTGATATCAGTTGACCAAAAGTCGAAGAAACACGGCTCTTGTTCAAAGCAAGCCCATCCGGACATCTATGCAACTGTTCGATTAGGTGCTCGAACGAATTACTAGAACAGTCGACAGTTAGGTTATCCATAAGTGTCACCACAAAACCCACTTAAGGCTAATGTTAGCTTTGGACTCCTACAGATTCTTGCCACGGCATTGAATGCGGCTCCAATGCATACTGTCAGAATGGTGGCTGTGTTTGCTATGAAGGATTTGAAGGTGACCCCAGCCTCGCATGCAAACCGATTTACGATCGTAAGTTTCATATCGAAAGTAGTGCTACTGGACACTTTTCCCACTTGATATCACATAGTGACAGTGTAGCCACATGCATCAACCAACTGATCAGTGGCTTCACTTTATTACTGTTTAAGAACTTGAAGCAATTAATGGGGGAAACGACTATGAATGTTTAACTTCTTGTTTATTTTCAGCTTCCTGTATGGGTATTCGTTGTGGTGCCAACGCCTACTGCAGAGGAGGAAGGTGCATTTGCCCTCAGGGTTACATGGGTGATGCAAACCAAGTCTGCTATCCTGTTTGGGGTAAGGTGCCACTAAAGTGCTCATATCAAGGATATTTTACAACTAAATTAATAGCTCCAAATTTACTAAATTTTACATTGAAATGATTGACTTCATCTGAAAATTTCCTCATTATTCCTACTTAGTTCCAACTTCGCTTCTTTTTAAATGGGATTAGAACTGTCAGCCTCAAGGCGGTTTGGCCAGGTATCTTTTGCGGTGGCTGAAGAATAGAGGAGTTAATAGCTAGCTCGAAGAAACAGCAATACTTGCACGTCCACGTTTAGGAAATGTTAACAAGAGGAGAGGACAAATTTTGTCTTTGAATTTGCTCAGTAAACCCACCCTTCCACTGCTCAGGCTTGCGGGTATGCTAGTCCAAGTGGTCTTCCAAATAAAAGTGCGTTAGCTTATGAAACTTCACTATTCAAGGATCTTCTACTGTTGATGTCTGTAACAACCTTGCGTGTCACCCGAACGCATCTTGCTCCGAGGGCCAGTGTCACTGCAACTACGGCTTCGAGGGAGACGGCTTCATTGACTGCTGGTCTAAGGATCCTGGTGCGTACTGTGTCAATTTTCTGGTTGCATTGGGTCTTAACTTTTAATGTCTTCCGGTTCTAAACTATTCCGCGTATTAATTAATTAATTGAGGTGTAGTACTTTGCTGTTCGATGCAGAAACAATGACGTGTTTATAACTGCTGATGATCCTTCACAAAAATAGTCAAGCATTTATTTTTGGTGAAGGGTAAACTCGTCCGGCGATTTTACATTGAGTAGTCACAAAAAGTGTCGCTAGTAATTACCCTTTTTTGTGATGGATAACTTTGTGTTTTGGAAGATCAGCAAGCCTTATTAGAACATTTAGTTATGCCTGAGTTCTGTCTCTATTAGACAGTATTATCACTACACTTTTTCAATCAAGTCGTTTCTGTTAACTACTAAAAAAGTAGTTATACTTCAAAAATGTTGAGGAATAGAGCATTAGGAAGTGCAGAATCGAGCTAGTAGATGAAGAATAAGATATTGTTAAAAGACCAAAATAGATTGTTTGCGTAATGTTATTAAGGTGTCTGTTTAATGCAGCGAACCTGTGCGACTGCAGAGGCGTACCAGCCTCTATGGCGGGATGCTCAAACGGCAAGTGTCGTTGTATGCCGGGTTTCAGGATGACCCGCGACAACTACTGCGAGGAGTGCCGTGGAAATGGTGGGTGCGCAGCCAATGCGCAGTGCATCTATGACAGGCAGATCCAACACTACCGGTGTGCATGCGATCCCGACTACTTGGGCGATGGTGCTATCGCCTGCATTCCAGGAGTGGTGGCTAACCGTACTGAGGCGGCACAGTGTCGTGCGCCCTGCCACCGCTTCGCCACTTGTGACGAATACGACGGGCGTTGCAAGTGCCGACCCGGTTTCATTGGCAACGGCTACACCTACTGCAATTTCGACTGTAACCAGTGCCTTAGTGAGGCACAATGTGTGCCCGAGTCCAGCCAGTGCGTCTGCCCGCCCGGGTATATCGGCGACGGTGTTCGCGTATGTCGTCCGGCCACCAGCCAAGGTGGGTTGTGTCCACTTAACCGTATCCGTGTTTGCCTCTTCTATTTCCCTCCAACGCGATTCATGTTTGGTAGGTCTGTTCACACTGCGAATTGTGAAGGAGAGCGAAACGATTCGCGTGCGCGAGGACTCGGGAGCGCTCACCCTCCGTTGTGTGCTCTCGGGTGACGTGCGTAACGTGCAGGCACGTTGGTTGACACCCGGTGACGTTGGTCGCACCGACGAGCAGTACACACACGAAGGTCGGGAGCTCTGGCTCACTATCAGCCAGCCCAGCCCTAAGGATTCTGGCCTCTATGTTTGTCAGGCCTCACGCGTTTCAGACACCATCAATGTTGTTGTCGAGCCACAACAAAAGAGTATGGTTGTCTTATTACATCGAAGTTGCCAATTGCCGTGAGGAATAGGATTGAATTAAGTTTTAATGCCTAAAAGTGCCTTGTACTTTCACTGGAAGTGTATCCAAAAGTGCATTTAATTTAGACTCCTAGATTTAGCAAAATGCACCGATTTACTTATACATGTTTGTTATTCGTACCGATGTTTTGTAGTTGGAAGATGAGATGCATGTGTGAAGTTGTACCGTCATTTTTGGTGTGAGTTAACGGGCTCTAATTTTAACATTTTTTTCACCCTCCTTCCCGAAGTTCAAACCAAGCAGCTTTTCCTTACGAGTGATAACGGAATTCTCACGGTTCAGACCCAAAGCGAATCAACGACAGCGGCCCAGATCTGGCACATTGGTACGTTGCCCTTGTGGCTCCCAAAATTTTAGGTCAGAAAGTTTATCAAGCAGCATTTACTATTTGCCCTCCAAATAATTAGGAATTAGAGATAACTAAGATGAGGTTCCAATTACATCCCATTGCAAGCACTTTTCAGACGGCTAAAACGGCACGTGGCATGATCTAAATAATGTGTTGCGAGCTAAAATAGACCGGCATATTTCGTCAGTATTGGCCTCGAAATGATGTGAACGTGTCAACAGGGCGCTTGACTTGTACTGACAGAAGTGGACAAATGCGGCATTTTCAAACTGACATTAAAGTTTTCGAGGTCCCAACGAAACAGTAAGGATACTCGAATAACTGTTTGCATTGTGCCATTAAATAATAGTAAAAAAGTGAGATCAGTCAAATATGAACGCATCACAAATTTTCATTTCGGACTTTGGGCTGCCAATGTTACTTTGAATAAGAACAATGTCCATTAATCACATCCATTTTCGCTGCCACCAGTGGGACAGGTGAATGACATAAGCATGAACACTAAATTAAACTGCAATCGCTAATTAACATTACCATTAAATGTGAGGTCCTCAGGAAGCATCAAACAATGATTAGAAGCTTGATTTGAAGGCCTAGAATCATTGCACACCATCCAATGTGAGATTTGTGATTTATCGCGCAAAAATACATGTGGATTAAAGGAATAATCAGTAAGCCATAGCATGGACACTCTTGCTATTTCCATGTACAGCTGAGAATAACAAGCACAGACCCGTGGCACTGGCGCTGGACTGTAAGACGGATCGGTTGGTCTACACCAGCGACGCCGGACGCGCGCTGCGTTTCGGCAACGCCAGTGCGGCGCGTCTTAACCAGCCACCAGAGCTCATCTTCCAAGACAACTCCGCCAAGTTCACCTGGATCGCTGTCGATCCAGCATCAGGCAACATCTTCGCCATCGACGAAGATAACAGTCGGATTGTCGTGGTGAACTCCGATCGGCCTAACCAGGTACACACCTACAAGAAACTCACAGATCGCAGGTCTGACAGAGACTTCGTTGCTGGCGGAATTGCTGTTCACCCCGGACTCTCGTAAGTTCCACTGTCACTCGCATCCCAAAGCTAAAATAGTTTTGTCGTTTCTTATTTTCTTGCATCTGAATATTTCATAGCTCTAAAACTAGGGTTTCTAAAAAAATCTTTCGCTTTTTTCCACCTTATGAAAAATGGGACTTCCAAAAATTTCCCAAAACATGTGTTTTCACTGTTTAGGCAGAACTATTTCCACAAATTTTGTGCCTCAAATTAAAATATGTTACCACTGTCCCATTCACGTTATCTAGGTTGATAGACAATCAGTTAATAGATGCAGCGACTAATGCATACATTCCTTGAAGTAAAGGCAGTTTGGTATAAGTCCTAATACCACTTACTCCTCGTATTCCAGACTGGTGTACTGGGCTCAAGTGGCGAACAGCGATTCCGAGAAGAGGGAAAGCGTCATCAAGGTCGCCTCGATGGCTGACCCCGAGAGGGTGAGTGAAATAACTCGCGTGACCGGGGCGCTGATATCACTGAGCCTTGCGGTGACTGATGACGTCACGGGTGGTGGAAACACCGCGGGTCGCCTTTGTTGGCTCCAGCGCCGCCAGTTGATGCCCTACTCGCGCACTGAAATCCACTGTGCCCAGCTAGAGACCTCTGGCAGGACTATTCACTCAAAACGACTTCATAAGAGCTTCGACACTAATGAGGAACCCTCTTGCGGTCTTATTCAAGATGACGATACAATCCTCTGGACTAGCCTCTATCGGTTAGTTAATTAAACATAACATAGTAGTAAACAAAAGCTTCTGCGGTCACTTTTATCATTGCATTTATACTTTCTGCGAGAAATTGTAACAAATTGAAAGTAAAAACCGATGTAGGCGTGGAAAATGATTGTAGTTTGGCAACATGTATTTTAAGTTGCCGGTTCATCTATTCTTCACTTAACTATTGGATTTTTGAGCTGGAAATGGGATAGATGGTTTGCACATTTTAAAATCAAACAGCATGAAATTCCTCCCATCCTACTGATGGGACTGCATTTGATATTTTTTAACCTACTTTAGCTCTGAATTTGTATGCTTTAACAGACTTAACACTTGTAGTATCGTCCTCTTAATCCGATTACCTTTTCAGAAAAATCTACCGATCCCTCAATCCATCCACGTCGATTTACGTAAAGGGCGTTTGCTGCTCCAACGGCTTCCAGTCAATGGCCATCCACAACATCTGCAAGCGTTGTAAGTGCCCCAATAACTATCTGAGTCAAGGTTGCTCGTAGCTTGATCTACTTCGAGTAATTACATCCTTGGTCCTTTTTAGCAATGACAAATGCCTGCAGCTATGAGAATGGCCGGTGCCGTTACTTCTGCCTCCCAGGAGGGCGTGAGATGGCACACATCTGCAGGTGCCCCGACGATCAGCCAAACTGCATTGCGGAACACGCCAAATCGCGCTTTTTGGGCTACGCATATTCCTGAACAATCACTCCATCTGATGCACAGTCTGTCTCCGAGTAAAATATCCATTTAAATAAACCAGCTGTTTATTATTTTCTCTGTGAATTTAGTTGGATTTGAATTTTTCTAACCTCCCTCACCCATTTCCTCTTCATAACGCATCTTCATTTTTAATATGGAATCTCAAACCTCGCCATTTGGACATTATGTTCGCAGGCATGGTGTCTCTGCAGACACTTGCCCCCACCTCATCTGGACCTTACTTATGAACATGATTTTTAAATTGCCCTTAATAAACATTAAAACCTTCAAAATAAAACGTCAATGTTGTGTTCTTTCGAGCCAGAGTGTGCTGCAGTTACCGAAGTTGATTTTGAAAGGAGAAATTTGAGAACTGCATGAACTTCCAAATAACAGTGATGTGCGCTAGTGCTCTTTTTAATTTTAGTGAATGATGCAATGGTTAACATGAACAATCAGTCCCCTATAGGGTCCATAGCGCAATTGACAATTA